TTTTTTAGTTCTTTTTTTATAAGAACCAATAGCATTACTTGCTTTTACGTATAACAGTATTTATTATTTTTGAACATTTGATAAATGGATCCCGCTGTATGTTACACTTGTTATAATGTCAGGCTCACATACGATGTAAGTATATTAGATCTGGCACAATGGAGTATAGAGTTTGGCACTAATGTAAAGCATGCTCTGGTACTTACTAAAACAATATATTCTTTTGTTCACTATAACTATTGGCGTTGCATACTCACTCAGCATCGGTGTGTACTTCCAGGTCAAGATTCGCACTTTCCTTATAAGGGATAAGGCACCATTTTTCTATCAGTGGAGATATTACAGTAGACTGCAAGCAAACGGCCGCCAAAGAAGAGGATGAGACATTGCATTTATATACATAATGAGCTCTTACTTTAATGTAAAAAAATATAGATTGACTGGAAATCTATCATCTGGGGGATGAAGAGAGTTATATTTTAGGATTATAAAGAACATTTTACGCACATAAAAGGTGAAGCTCAACAGTTTTGGCTCTCTGTTCTAAATTCTAGTATAACAAACTGATATACTGAGACCAGCCAAGACTTATTCAGGAAAGGATCTCATGCTGAGTTTGGATGTAATCTAATCCCTATCTTTTCCTTTGACAACGTATTCTCCTTCCTTAGACGCCTACATATCCTCCATTTGATCTAATCACCCTGTATCCTTAACCCTTTCCCTTCTATCAATAACTATCCTATCCCATTTACCACCCCTCTTTCTACCCCTTTCACTAACATACTATTTTACAATACCATATGACCGTTGATGCTCTTTCATCACAATACTTTGCTATAGCGCTACATGACCCTTGATGTTTAACACATTTACTTGTTTAAAACATTAAACATTAAACATTGGATTTAATTTGTGTAACGACGTGAGGTGATGGAAAATTCGCTACTTTTTCCATGGAAAGAACTTCAGCACTCATAGGACAAGCTTGTACTATCTTCGTCGCTTTGTTCGGTATAATTACGATACATAGATTAAGAGGAAATTGAAATGCATAAGAGCATTAAATCCTTGAGGGAGAACCTTGTACTGCGATGATTGGAAACGCGAAGCAACTTTTCTTGCTATTAGAAAAAAAAATCCCTGAACGGAATGAGAATTAAATCAATCTAACTTTTGAAAAAAATATGACATTGTAAGAGATCTGGATATATGCTGCATTTTGTTTATGAGAGTAAGGGGAGCACACTTATTACTGTTTCAATGGCATCATGCTGTTCAAGTGGGAGCGAGGGATGCCTTCCCTGCTTGCATTACAGATTATGGAAATCAAGAAAGGGGTTGCCGAGACAGGTCGATATTAAAACGCAACCCAAAATAATTAGAATGAAATCAAACACATTAGTAAACAAAACGAATGCAGTTGGTTTTTAATTTCTTACAATCAGGAAGCAGTAAACCGTGTTTATTTTTTTATTAATCGACACTGAACCAATACGGGGGACTTGCTTTGATATCGCCCTTTACTTCAACTGAATTGCACCAGGGAGTCATCAGCTCTGGCGTTACCCTCGATCTTGCAATGTATGAACAGTTATATTTATAACATTATTATAAGCTGGTATTTGTACTGTACCTTATTGCAGATGTTGTAACGACTGGAGATAATGTGAATGCACTGAGAAGTCGTTCTCTTGTGATACTCAGTATCAACCTTAATTTCTATTTTGTTCTAAGAATTAATTCAGATAGCAAATTCTCATTAAAAGATTAGTTCCTCTCACTGTGGGCGTATATGTGCACGTATGTACGTATCCCGTAAGATTTATCACTGTAAAATCACTTCCCTAACTAATAGACCAGATAAATCTGTTTGCATATAAATAAAAAAGAACTATAGAGGAAGAAAACAAGTAT